GGCAATAGGGATTTCGCCTAGGGCGTCAAATTGGCTAGAAACGGCGCTGAGTGTGATGCATGAGCTGCATGCTTTAGTGGCTCTGGGTTACTGGTGTTTAGTGATGATGAGACAGAAGACAGAAGCAGCCGGATGAACTCTGAAGTGTGTAGAGATATACTCTTTGACCAGATTCAGCCAAATGCAGCAAAGCTGATTGAGAGGCGCTTCATGGTACGAATGGACGATGACCCAAAACACACAGCAAAAGAAACCCAGGAGTTTTTGAAGTGAGCACAGGTCTCATTACAGGACCTCAGGCCCGCATGACACCCTGCTTTGGTCAGACACATGCACACCAGTGTCCTGCTGGAGCTGTGGCAGTAGACACTTAACATTCAGTAACATCATAACATTTAATGCCACTGACACTATTTGATGAAAACAAAACTTAAACTGAATTGAATAATGACGATATTGTGTTTAGTGCTGCGACAATAAATCAATGCATTGCAAATCGAGAAATGATTCTGCATCGATTCTGAGATTTTCCGAATGCATCGTGATTCTCTGTTGAATGGATTCTGAGCTTAGCTTTGAACAGCAGATAGCGCTGCATGCTTCAGAAACAGCCATACTCTACTTGCTTCCAGTTCCTTGCACACACTTGAACCTAAAATAATCATTCATAAAGTTCGAAAAGGTTGAAGCGAGTTACAAGGGTGTTCACAGTGGGCTGTGTTTACATTAATCTGGCATCATGAGCATTTGAGTGTGCGGATAAAAACTAGAGTAGAGCGCCATCTGCTGTTAAAAACTAAGCTCAGAATCCATTCCAGAGAGAGTCACGGTGCATCGATTTATCGTCCCAGCCCTAATTGTGTTGATAGAGCTGCTTTATAGCAGAATTGGGATTTGTTTCATGATGAAGTTTGCATCAATTAATCTTTTATTTTCCTGTTTATTTCTGCGAAGCTGCTTTGAAACAATCTCCACTGGATAAAGCGCTTTAGAAATAAATGTGACTTGAGCAATGCAGAATCATTGACCACAGTGGCAGGAAGAAGTACATGATTTTCTCTTTTGTTTAATAGTGCTGATTATCAGTCTATTATTGTGAGGATAGACAGCAGCGCGTCTGTCAGGCTATTTACACTGCTAATGCACAGTCCCGTGTCTATCTCAGTCCCGAGACACCGCTTCGCTTCACTTCTACACAGAGCAGAGTGATTGAGACACCGCTGTGCTGCTGTTTCTGAGTAAAGCGAGGGTGTGAGCTCTTCTGAAACCATGTTTTGTAAGAACGATGGAGAAACTGCTCGTCATCTATCAGAAACTTCCCACAAATGCACTACTTTCTTAAGCAAAATCATTTTGGCAAAAATCTATTGCAAAAATGCAACAATTTCTGATCACACTTTAGTCACGCTCCATTTATCAATATTTACACAAATTCTAGTGTTGACTACATTTGAAAAGATGAAAGAGTTTCAGCTCCTGTTTTGTATTCTGCATTTTTAATGTCAAGCCACGTTCTTGTCTGTAATGCTTTATACAATACAGATCAATTCAAAGCAAATAACTCTTATTGTTGCAAAGTTATGAAACGTCTGACTTCAGTTTCAGCAGTAAAAGCTAGTGTGATCATTCAGATCAATTCAGCTGAGTGAGCATTGAGTTCAGATCATGTGTTAAAGGAGTGTAGAGCTGAACCGTTCCCACAAACCCTCAAGCTAACACAATGATGCACGCTTTCTCTTCCATTAGACATCATTTCTCAGAATCATTGCTCATTATGAACATTTATTATCACGATTATAGTGACCAAAATTATCACTGTTATCAGTGTTATCACGGTATTGTTAAAATGTGCCGGAAATGTTCAAAAAGTTTGATATTTAAAACCAACCAACAAATAATTTAGTTTTATTATAATTTTTTTTTTTTTTTTTTTGCATAAACACTGAAACAATAACATTACCAATGATGTCTGGATTTTAAATGACAACAGTGTATCTAATAGCATGTGCAGAATTTTTTAATAAAACTTTGGAAAAGTTTCATAAAATTGTAAACCTCACATTTCAGCCTTTAAATAAAGAAAAGGGTTAAGTCAAAATGATAATTGATTAATAAATGATTATATATATTTTATCTGCCCCATAAATAATTCTGGATAGCTTATCTGAATTGTTTAAATGTGTAGAATCCACATAAGCTTGTTTTTCATCAACCGGTCATAAATGACAGCAGAGCTTGTAAATCCGGTCTGTTTTATGTCCCGACAGAAGCTGCACACAGACTGAATGTGAGCCTCTGTAGCTCCACTCTCTGACAGCAGGGGGCGCTGATGGAGCAGCAGAATTACAGCGGTTTACCGTAAAGAACACTAGTTTATTAGGTGTTACATGAAGTGAAGATGAAAACAAAATGCCACTGAATCTTTTCTGAAGACAGTCAGAATCTTCAGAGGTGCATTCATATAATTAATTCATTCATATATTCATTTGTATAATTCCCTCAGCACTCTGTTAAACCTCCCAGCTTTTCCACCGTTTTCACACAAATCCAAACTACTCTGCTGCTGTGTGCACCTGTAAAGCCCTGCTTTATGCTGGACTGTATTTATTTATCCTCAGTTGTTCAAATCGCGGTAATCGGATACGGATTTAATGATAGTTAAAATATGAAACGATAATACTACCCGTGGGTAATTTTATCAGGATTTATGGTCAAACCGAGTTTATGTCTGAGTTCATGTCTCTGCGTTAGTTGCATCGCTTGGCTTGTGTTTCTGAGTCCTGCACACACTCGAGCTCATCAGACAGAAGCATATATAAGCATAAACTGCAGTGTGGTGAAGCATCACAAGAGTCTGCAGGTGTGAGGTGTCTGTCTCGTGTCTGGACTCCTGTGGCAGGTTCATTGCAGGAGAATGAATGGATGAGTGGTCTGTCCTCATCATGTGTGCTGTACAGAAGAGCGCTTCACATGCCGACTGAGACCAGAGCATCAAAACACCTTTCTCAACAGTTAGATTCTTAATGTTTTATAAAGAAGTCTCTTCTGCTCGCCAAGCCTGCATTTATTTGATCCAAAATACAGCAAAAGCAATAATATTGTGAAATATCATTTCAGCATCATTACTCCAGTCTTCAGTGTCACATGATCTTCAGAAATCATTCTAATATGCTGATTTGCTGCTCAACAAATTGATTTAGGATGCTCTAAATTGATCAAAAGTGATGATAAAGACATTTATAATGTTACAAAATATTTATATTTCAGACAAATGCTGTTCTTCTGAACTTTCTATTCATCAAAGAAACCTGAAAAATACTACTTAGCTGTTTTCAACATAATATATAATTACATAATAAAAATTGTTTTTTGAGCAGCAAATCAGCATATTAGAATGATTTCTGAAGATCATGTGACTGGAGTAATGATGCTGAAAATTCAGCTTTGAAATCAGAGGAATAAATTACATTTTAAAATACATTCAAATATATGAATTAATAAAACTATTTCACAATATATTACTGCTTTTGCTGTACTTTGGATCAAATAAATGCAGGCCTGGTGAGCATGAAGAGACTTCTTTAACAACATAAAACAAAATCACTGTTTTCCCAAAGAACACAAGCTAATCTAGGACTCTATGAAATCTGCTTCATGTTCCGCTTAAATATTTCTGTATTCCATTTTAATAGTTTACTTCAACTTCAACTAAACTGTCAAAATGTTAACAATTTAAAAATGTATTAAAGTTTTGGCAATAATAGTGCCCTAAGACATGTTTTATTTTATTTATTTATTTATTTTTCAGAAATCCTGTGTTGTTTTCTGGATTCTGTGTTTTTTGATTTGTAATTGTAATTTTATTATCAAAAATGTTGGTAATCGAATGAATGCATGCCATTTTAACAATTGAATCAATCTTTCAAGATGTAGTAGTCAAATGAAACTTGAACGATTCCTTTCATTCTTTTGGTAAACAAAGTGCTGCACAACAGAGGCTCCCTGTCAAACATGGACAGAAAAGGCTTTTGATATTCCTTTAAAAAAACATGTTTTTTAACTAGTTTTAACATCATTATTACGTGTAGATCTGCGTTCTGTTGTGCGATAGATCTATATTTCAATCCAGTAATATAATAGTGAAATCATGTCTAGTTGTGAGTTTCTGTGTCTGCTGATGGTCTGCTGCTCTGAAGTTCATGTGTTCATATAGTGAGATGCATTCACAGATCGATCAGAACGTGTGTGTGTGTGTGTGTGTGTGTGTGTGTGAGACAGGGTCGACATGTGAAAACAGGACAGCTGGCAGCCATCAAGGTCATGGACGTGACGGAGGTATGAGCTTCATCTGAACATCACACTCTTAACACTGCTGCATAATAACACTCTTCTCTATCAGTCAGTGCGTCTGGACTTTATGTTTACCCAAAGAAAATACACAGAAAGCAATGAAATTACTGCTCATTTAATTCTATTTAATCTAATCATGATTTCTGCATCCTTTGATTAATTAAGCGTACTTGTTTGTGATATTGGTATTTTTGTTGTTGTTTTAGCAGAAGACAGAATAAACTAATTTGGAGTAGTTGGAGTTAATGCTAGGATTGTCACTGATTTAGCGTTTGAGAGAAGTGTCTTCTTTTTTCTTCATTCCTTCTTTATTCTGATGAATATAATAACTCCGGAAACTAGATGAGGTCAGATAAATGTCATCTTGATTCAGAATTGTGTGTGCAATAATTCTGATGAATGACAACAACTGTGATTAATAATCACCATTGTGATCATTGAGCAAAACAATGGTATTCATCAGAGTGTGCTGAAAGCGTTCGGAGAGCCTCGGCAGGGTCTGTCGTGAGAGATAACACATTACCTTTCCCTGACCATCACTTCCAGTGCTGCCAACTTAGCAATGCTGCTGCTAGATTTAGCAACTTTTTCAACATCTTCAAAAGGCACCTAGCAACAAATGTAGTTTTTAAAAAAAATTTATTTGGCAACTTTTAGCAACTGTGACTCAAATGATAAAAAGGCAGATATTTTCCCTCTAAATTACATTAAGAAGAGGAAATCAAAGGAGTCTAGCTGTACACGTATCACATGGATTAAGCTGCTAGTTGCAGTTGTTCAATAATAATAATGATAATAATAACACCTTGTTAGTTTGTACCTGCACTTGCTGATCAGTTAAAAAATATCTATAAAAATGGAAAAGGTACACGGTAATTTTCTATCGGGACATTATCTGTTAAGTTGTAACCTGAAAACACAAAATACAGTGCGCAATTTTAAATTCAAGTAAAAAAACTGTTACAAATCTCAAATTAACGCAGTACATTGTGTCCCGTTTTACAGACCTTTCTTAAAGTGTAGCTTACTAACTAACTACCAATACACTGCTTACAAATATAATTGTTCAGAATGAGTAGTTTCACTAGTTCACCAGAAAACACGACATGTAATAGTTCAGAAATGTATAAATGTTCAATAATTCAATGCTGTATGTAAAAATAAATATATTATTTATATTTCAATATTATTATGTTTATTTTTTAGTTTAAATCTAAATGAATCTTCAAATCACATTCATAATCATATTTTTGCTGAGATTCGAGTGATCTGATTGTGTAGTCTATGCAGTTTTGCATTTCGCGCGATGTCATCACAACGTCATTTAGCAGCTTTTAAGCAACACGTTGTCCTGCCTTTAGCAACGCTCCCTGAAAATGAGTTTGCACCACTGCTCACTGATCTGCTTTAACTGTGCTGTGGCATCTCACACACGTGTCTTCTGCAGGACGAGGAGGATGAAATCAAGCTGGAGATTAACATGCTGAAGACTCACTCCCATCACAGGAACATAGCCACGTACTACGGTGCTTTTGTGAAGAAGAGTCCTGCGGGTCAGGATGACCAGCTGTGGGTGAGTGAGTGAGCGAGAGAAACACAACAAGAACAGCCTCCAGCTTCTGCTGTGCTCACTTCTGTTATGAGCTGTCTGGTCATCTTAAAGAGACAGTTCACCCAAACACTCAAGCGTGGTTTTGCCAGTACGCTGAACCTGAGTGTGTGTTTTCTGGACTTGTGCAGAGCTCCAGACTGACACTAAATGATCACATTGTGTGTGCTCTTTTATTGCATGTGAATTCTGTCACAAACCCAGATGTCTCTGTGAGTTAAACCAGTTTAACGAACCAACGCTGACATTCTCAACAACACTGATGCTCAAACATCGTGCCACAATGATCCGCAAATCACCAACTTTACCATGGATTTACTGTAGTAACACTAACTGAAAGCATGGTATTGTGGCAGAAATGTGGGATTTCGGGGATCAACACTAAGGATTTTTTTCTACTGGCCCTGCCACAAAAATAAAATAGTTGCTGTTATCATTGTTTTTGATCTTGTATTCTAATAAATAAGTAGTGTCTTTAGTGACTGTCAAACACGATTGAATGAATTCAAGGTGCACTTTTTCATTATGCAAAATGTTTTGCGTTTTGGGTTTGTTCTCACGATATTCTTAGCACCATATGACATGGCCTCGAGGACCCTTTGCAAAAATAAAAAAATATACAGACTTTTATGTGTGCACGGAAATCCATTAAAGTTAACATATCGGACAGTGCACACTGAGCCATGTGTTGTACTATCATTTAACGGTGTGGTTTCTTGGCTATGCATTAAAGAGACCTAAGGCCTTGAAATATGACACACTGCCCTAACGAAAGCCACATTTTGAACACTTTGTTTACAATTCCAGTCTTTTTTATAGACTCTTGAACTTAGCAAATAGGACAATGCACACAGCTGTATTATGCCATCAGCCCATTTCGTGTCATGGTTTTTCTGCTGCTGCAGAGGATGAGCTAAATTGGACATTAGGCCTTGATATTAGAGGTACTACCATAAGGAAAGCCACATTTTGAGCAAGTTGATCTCTATTAATTCATGTGCATCCATGCTCTTATTTGATTCATAGTAAGATGGCAGTGATGCACAAAGGAAATAGGTTATATAAAACCAGAAATTGTAATGCGTAAGCATGCGAAAAATTCCTATGCGCATGTGAATAGTTTCTCAAAGGGCACAAACAAGTTTCTTGTGTGCATGCAAAAGTCACTTAGCGAAAAGCAATGTAAAAAACCCTGAAAAAATAAAAATATTTACAGATGACCATAATACCAAATATAAAGCTTAATAGTGCTAAAATGTAAAATAACGTCGGAAATGGAAAATGTGAACCCTGTATTTATGAAATACAGTAGTAATCTTATGATCATTCCTGTTCACAACATGTAGGAAAAGAAGAAAGAGGTGAATGAGCAAAGACAGCAGGACATGGGCATGATAAGTCAGTGTGGTTAATGTGCGTCTGTCTCTGTGTGTCAGCTGGTGATGGAGTTCTGCGGCGCCGGCTCGGTCACAGACCTGCTGAAGAAGACCAAAGGCAGCTGTCTGAAGGAGGACTGGATCGCCTACATCTGCAGAGAGGTGCTGAGAGTGAGTAAAACTGTATACACCTTACCTAGTGTGTGGAAACAACTCGTGTGTTCTTTCAGTGAGAGGGATGTAACCATATCAATATCGCGGTAGCAAAACTGTCTCGATATTATCTTAGTCACATGATGATATGAAACGATAGGTCTTCCGGGCAAAAAGTGTAGTTTTTAAAATATATTTGTTTTGGGGCATTATGCTTTTGGCACAGTCAAACAAACTCAAACCGAAAGCACTATATGGCTTTGCTATATAGTAAATTTTTCCCTAATTCTTCATTGGTCTTTTTTCTTTTTAAATATCTCAATAAATATCGTACCGTGGACTTCATATCGCAATAATATCGTATCGTGAGATTTTGATACCGTTACTTTCGCATTCAATAAATTACATCATTACATTTTTCCAATATGATTGTTCCAATAAGGCACACAAGGATCGTAATTTGTTTGTACTCTTCATAATGAAATGGACTAGAGTGATCAGTGAAGCATCCTTCTGCCTGTTTTTACTGGCCTTTGTTGATTTGTGTCTTTTGAAATCCATCCTAAATGACTGTGCTGAGTGTAAGCTGTTTTCATGGTCAGACCGAATTACGTGACACGAAAAGCCGTATTTAATGAAAAAATGCAGTTATATTTTAATATGTATAATACCCAGAAAGATAAAAAACAGTTGCATGTCATGCCTGGATGAAGCCTGCACTTCATTTAGTACACTAAAGTTAATGTGGATAACAGAAAACGACAAAGATCAAAGAAACCTCTGAGCATGTCACAAATGCGTGTTATCCACAGAAATCAGTGAACGAGACACACATTTCACTCATGAAAGGAGTTGCTTGTGTTATGAAATGCATTCTGTTCATGAAGTGTTTTTGTCATGCATTTCATTAAATGCATTTAATCCATGCTGAAAATTGTGGAATTTCATCTGGTGTAACAGAGATATAAAGCTTGTTCTTTCACTGATTTTATAACCCTAATGATAATAAATGACATTACTTTTAGAAAGGCTCTATTCACTGTCAAACATGAGAAATTGAAGGGATATTCTGGGTCCAGAAGTTAAGATGAATCAACAGAATTGTGGAATATGTTGATAATATGTTGCAAAAAACAAAAAACACTGTTTAATAATGTTTAATTTAGCAGCTAAAATAGGCATTGATTTCACTGTTGAGTTGATGAGGGCATGCACGTCATTAAAAGAAAGACAAAGCGCAAAAGTAATGAAATGCAGCTGTTTATTTATTTATTTCTGTCCAGTGTTTGTGTGTGTAAACTGTGGTTTGCTGCTGTTCTCTCAGGGTCTGTTACACCTGCACTCACATCACGTGATTCATCGAGATATTAAAGGACAAAACGTGCTGCTGACGGAGAACGCTGAGATCAAACTGGGTAAGACCTCCATCCATTACCAGCATCTGAGAAATACTAGATATGATCATGAGCGTGTTTCACTGAGAAGCACTGCAAGCTCACCCTTCAAACATGCTATGGTTAGTTGTTTTTGGTTACTTTTTTCTTATTGCTTCTTATGTTATTTTACTATGGTACTTTTCATATTTCTATATGCCAGCTTTTTATTTCTTATATGAAAGATGTTGGACAATCGATTTAAAAATAAAAATAGGACCCACTTTATATGAGTCAGTCCTCATAAAGTGACATTTTCATGCCATGGGACCTTTAACTACTTTACACTTACATAAGAATTAAGCATAAGATACATTATAATTATTGTGTACATAGCAGTGTTATTTAAGTATCATTGATTTGCTATCGTCATTTTGTTAATATTTTTAATTAGATTTAAGAAACAAAAAAATCTGTTTCCATATAATTTTTAAAGATACAGTCCGTAACTTTGTTTTGGTTAAAAATGACGTAAAATTATGCCACGACTGTAAACATAAAGAAGTTTTCCTGGCTAATAGACTATATCGCATGTGAGGATCCTGCAGGTGGAGGATCATTTAGCCTTTTCTCACAGCAGCTGCAATAATTAAACTTATCATTTTGATGGAGGATTGTAATCAAGAAAGGATTATGTGTTTATGAAACACATGTGACTGAAATTAAATTATATTCCAGTTTTAAATGTGCATCTGGTTTGATGTGATAGGAGCTAACTGATCTTTAGATTTAATCACCATTGTAGCATGATTTATTGTAATGCTTTTTTCCTCAGTTGGTCAGAACAAACGAGGCAGACTTTTTAATTATTGTTCAGATGATATATGGTGAAAATGCTTATTTGGGTCATATATTCCAAGATGTAGCTAGAATCTGATCGCTAAGTACAGGATCCACACGTTCACCTCAAAACATGAGATTCATCCGTGCCGGTGCACACGTAATGAAGATAATTCTACAAACAGCTGCAATTGCAGGTTTCAAACAGAGATGGCGACAAAGAGGCAAAACTTACGGACTGCAGCTTTAAGGTTTTAGTATATTAATTCTGTTTTTGTCTTTTTTTGTTGTTATTTTAATATTTAAACTACACAAAAATGAGAATCCACTAAAATACATGTTTTTTTTAAACACAGAGCAATATGCATGTACAGAAGAATCGCCCTGTATCATATCCTGGCATATATATGGCAGGAGACACTGTTGATGTATGTGTTTTTCCAGTGGATTTTGGCGTCAGCGCTCAGTTAGACCGAACGATTGGCAGAAGAAACACGTTCATCGGGACGCCGTACTGGATGGCGCCGGAGGTGATCGCGTGCGATGAAAACCCTGACTCCACATATGACTACAGGGTGAGTAGACTACTCTACATCAGTGAGTGAACATGTTTCCATCAGTGACTGTGATAACGCATGTTTCAGAGCGACGTGTGGTCTCTGGGAATTACCGCTTTAGAGATGGCCGAGGGAGCGCCACGTGAGTTTACATATACAGAAACACTCTATAAAAGTTACATATGATCCAGTGTTTGTGTGTGATTCCTGTATTTCTCTGCAGCCTTGTGTGACATGCATCCCATGAGAGCGCTGTTCCTCATTCCACGAAACCCTCCTCCCAAACTCAAGTCCAAGAAATGGTGAGAGAATGCCGTTTATTACAGCCAGATCTGCCACACAGCCATAGAGTATGAATAGAGTTTCCTAATGATATAGCATAACATAATAACATAATGACAGGTAAGAAAAATGAAGCCATAAGGAAGTACTGTTCGGGAAGTACTAAGTTGTTGACGTGTTCTGAAGAAGCCCTTTTATACTTCCGGGCGCCCATCTGTGATGTCACAGGCTACGTGGGCCAATTAGAGTGAAGCTGTTTGACACGTGCTTCAGACACCCCATAGTGTCCACTAGAGGATGCAGCTCGAGTTCCCTAGAAGGGGAACCACCGACACATTTGTTACAATCGCTAGGACACATTTCTCAATTCTAAAGTTATTTTTCAAAACTCTTCAAACAGTTCTCCTAACCATCTTTCAACTTTACACAGCAGTTCATTTCACATTCAAAATGCACTAAAACTACCAAAACACTTCATTAATGCCTCAAATCAACTCATTCTTCCATAACTCTAGCAAAGACAAGCATTATACAAGGTTTTCTTTTGTAAAATTTCTGTACAAAACAATAATTATACTCTCTACTGTTTATAATTCACTGCAGTATATGTTACGTGGTCCATGTTTACATTGCAGTACAAAATTATTCCTAAGTTTTCCCCTTTTGTGTGGATGGTAATGAAAGTGTGAAGATGTTCATCTACATGCAACTGCTTCAACAGTATTTGATTTTTTACATTCAGAATATTTTTTCTATATGATATTACTGTAGAAATGTTGCAGATTTCTGTCTTATTCATTTTTGTACTGTGCTAGGTTTTGAACTGAAGTTTTGAAAACAGCATGCAAACGTGCAAATTGGCTTGTGTAGCACATAAAGTTTTGTTGGTGTTTGTGTCGAAGTGAGAAAAGAATTCATGTAATTTGACAGATGTGGTCAATGAATGCATTTTGTGCCAAAGCAATGATAAATGATGATTCACAGTTTAGCCCACAGAGACTGATGCTGTGCTCGGTGTGAGGAGTTTTGAAAAAGTGACGGAAGCATTGAGAAATGTGTCCGAGCGATTGTAAAAAATAACTGACTTGTGTTTCACTGCTCCTAAAGGTCTAAGAAGTTTCAGACATTTGTAGACAGCTGTCTGGTGAAGAACTACCTCCACCGGCCGTCCACAGAGACGCTCCTGCGTCACTCCTTCATTAAAGACCTTCCCAATGAGCGACAGGTGCGCATCACGCTCAAAGACCACCTGGACAGGACCAGGAAGAGGAGGCGAGAGAAAGGTGATGCTCTGTGGTTTGAGAAGATGAACATTAAAATTACATCCAAACACATCCACTGTTCAGATGGTAGTGTAGTTTGCTCGTGGTTTGGCCTAATTAGCCTCAAACCCTATTTATGATCACTGTGAACAGAGGGGACAGAATATGAATACAGTGGCAGTGAAGATGAAGAAGATGCCATGAATGAAGATGAAGGTGAACCCAGGTATGTGTTACCACACTGATCTCTATATGAAACCTTAATAGAGGCTTTGAAACATCTTTACTTCCCGTCCTTTTTCAGTTCAGACTGTAGAGTCGACATAAAGAGTAGTAACAGTTCTAGACTAGCTACAAAGAACATAATGACTAAATATGAACATTTATGAATTTGAGTTAGCTGGTGTGATGTACCAGCTACATGGATAAAGCTCGAGTGGAAATAAAACAGGAAGGTGTTCCTCACCCTGCTCAGGGCTGTTCGGTCACGTCTTTCTTTGGACTAGGGCTGCAACAAATGATTATTTTGATAATCGATTAATCTAACGATTATTTGAACGATTAATCAACTAATCGTCAATTATTTTCACAGATTAATCAGTAGACTTTGAGTGATTATTCAGCTTTTGAAATTAGTTAAAATACTGAGTTATAATAAAATAAATAAAGCTAATCACTTCAGCTTTTGAAAATCATATTATGTAATTACAATACGATGGCTTCCATCAGTACTCCCAAAGCTGGCACAGGTCTATAACACTTTCTACATCCACATTTCACTCGCTAACATTAGGCGGTTTTCATTTATACGCAGTTAGTGTTGATGATCACATTATTTTATCATATGCATCTGCTTAAATATGAGATCACTTGTTTCTGCGGCTTCATCACCTGTATTTTTGATCGGCACTTTCTAGGCTCATTCAGGAGATGCGTAATAGCGCCCTCTAGTGTATAACAGTGAAAACACGGAAAAATCAGTGTTTGGCAGGGAAAGAGTTCACTTTAATAAAATAATATTTTTTCCCCCACTAATAAAAAGATTTTATCATTAGCTAGCTCCACACTGGAGAGCTGATTTATAACAGAAAATCAAGTTGTAATTCTAACTGAAAGCGACACTGACTGGTTTTTTTATGTTTAATACTGTAAAGCTGCTTGATTTAAGGCTATCTATTGCATAAAGTACTATATAAATAAACGTGATGCGAGTACCGAACAAACGTCCACATCGCTGTAATCAGATGCTTTCTTAACTGCTGCTTTCTCACCGCGGTCAGTTTTTGTTGTGTTTATTTCGTTATCGAGAGGAAAGCGTAGCATATATTTACATATTCATTTACAAACACCGCTCAGCAGCTTCAGGTTCAGCTGCGTTTGCTCTGAAGTGTGTGTTTGTGTGTCTTCTCTGAATTACAGTCTTGCTCTACAGCGCCACTCTGGTCAAACCGCTTTATTGCAGGCTCTTACATGAGATCATATGAGATCAAACGACTACTCGACAACAAAAATATTTCTTGACAATTTTTTTATGTCAACGTTGTCAATAATGTCGACTCGCCGTTTTAGCCCTACTTTGGACTGTAATAATCAGACCAGGAGAGTGCATTAGGACAATGAATCAGTTTGGATTGCATGTTAAACCTGAGAGGTGAGATCTGTATTAGTGAACCAGTGCATCACTGAGAGTGAAACTGGTTTATGATCAGCAGGCAGCTCGATGACGTTTGTGCCACAGCAACCGAAAGGTAAATCAGAATAAACCAATGTATTAAAATGAAGCTGAAGATGTTATGTAAGCATGAATGGCCTCGCTCTTGTCTCTGTGTGATGAGCAGATGTCAGCGAGCGTGTCTCCATATGGCAGATGGCTTGAGAACTGACCGTGGCTCTTGTGTTTGTGCTCACACAGCTCTATAGTCAATCTTCCCGGAGAGTCCATGTTGAGACGGGAGTTCCTGCGTCTGCAGCAGGAGACAAACACACAAACACACCTGCTCCAGCAAACACACAGCCAGGACAACTACAAGAGACAGCTGCTGGCCGACAGAAACAAGAGGATCCAGCAGCAGCAGGAGGAGCGCCGTCGCCTCGAAGACGTACGGATCAACCCTCTTCAGACCCTGGAGCACAAAACCAGTCATAAGGGGCAATTTTTCGAAATTGAGATTTATGCATCGTCTGAAAGCTGAATAGATCATCTTTCCATTGTTGTATGGTTTGTTAGGATAGGACAATATTTGGCTGAGATACAACTATTTGAAAATCTGGAATCTGAGGGTGCAAAAAAATCTAAATATTGAGAAAATCATCTTTAAAGTTGTTCAAATTAAGTTCTTAGCAATGCATATTACTAATCAAAAATTAAGTTTTGATATATTTACGGTAGGAAATTTACTAAATATCTTCATGGAACATGATCTTTACTTAATATCCTAATGATTTTTGGCATAAAAGAAAAATGGATAATTTTGACCCATACAATGTATTGTTGGCTATTGCTACAAATATACCCCAGCGACTTAAGACTGCTTTTGTGCTGCAGGGACACAAATATCAAATGAGTGCTGATGTTTCACTGACGCTCTGTGTTTTACTCTGCAGTAGCTTTAACACGTTTAGTGTTTGTTTGCTCTGCAGGTGATGTTATGTGTGTCGGGTCAGTCGCTGCATGTTTTAGTGGAATACACATTCTGTGTGTGTAGATGTGTGCTCTATCAGTCCAGTATTTGGATGTGTTTCTCGAAAGCTTTTGGTCTGAAAGCTTGTGCTTGAAATGACTTGTGTAGATGAATCAAAACATATGAATCTCTTTACAAAACTATCACTTTCCTTTACAAATTGTTGAAGCAGTGGAGGGAAATCAGCCTAATGGCGTTGAAGCAGCATGCCAGGGTGAATGCAGTTAGCTGCTGAAAGTGTAGACATGAGGAGAAGCTTGTTCTCAGTCTGACCAGCTGTGGCTGATACACGAGACCGGACTCCAGTGGCCAGAGCTCCAGGAGATGATGTGGCAGGAAGAGACTGACCTTACCGAGAAAACCAGAAGAAACCACAAGAAACAGGTTAGAGTTTGTGACTTCAGTTTAGGCTTGCCGTGATAGACAGTGCTGAAGGCGAGACAGACGAGACGAGTGAGACGAGACGAGTGAGGCGAGACAGACGAGACGAGTGAGACGAGAAGAGCGAGGCGAGACAGACGAGAAGAGTGAGGCGAGACAGACGAGAAGAGTGAGGTGAGACAGACGAGAAGAGTGAGGTGAGACAGACGAGAAGAGTGAGGTGAGGTGAGACAGACGAGAAGAGTGAGGCGAGACAGACGAGAATAGTGAGGCGAAGAGTGAGGTGAGACAGACGAGAAGAGTGAGGTAAGACAGACAAGAAGAGTGAGGTGAGACAGACAAGAAGAGTGAGGCCAGACAGACAAGACGAGTGAGGTGAGACAGACAAGAGGATCGCGGATGATTTAGTTTAGAAACGAGATGCAAAAGCGCCAGTTTGGCAATATTTAGGATTTTGAAAAGCCTGTTGACTTTTGCCGTTTATCTAAGGAGAATCAAGGTGTATGCCGTGCCTCCAAGCTTTCTTACTCGTTTTGCTAATAAACATTCTTATTTCTTTGGTTATATATTATACATGTTTACTTGGCCTATTTCCAGTTTTGTATACCTATTTAAACTTTATGTAAGTTATTTGTTATTTTATATTAGGCATAGCCTGCCCTATAGCATGGTGTATTTTTATTTGTTTTGTTAATAAAAGTTCTATTTTTTATATAGGCTAAAGTGAGTTTGACATTGTATTTTGTTGTTGCATTCAAGCAATTGACGCCGAACTGCCGCTAATTCGAAAGTGAAAGTAAAATGCGCACGGCGCTTTTAAGCTATTTAAAAGCCAAGGAAAGCAAGGAAAAGAGGGAAAATTCAAACGAACAATTGCTTTACTCCAAATTGCCGCTATTTGAAAGTGAAAGTAAAATGCCCCCGCGGTGATATTAGTAGTGTAAATGTGGTGTTAGAGAAAAAAATAAAATATATATATATGAGCAGCTTTATTTTAGACGAGCTAAAACTGATGTTGTAATATTACAACAGTGGGCCTTACAGGGTTAAATTTGTTTAGGTTTGGAGTTTATAATAAGTGTTTATATGAATGCAACTATAATTTGTTTATGTTGCACTTATGTTGTTCATTCTTGTTCTATATACGGTTAACATTAAAGTGTTTTTGTGGATTGAGAGCGACTAAAATACATGTATAGTGTTTAAAATGTTTGGCTTTATTTAGTGGTAATTTACGTAATTTTTAAATATAATAATGAAATGTGACTTACACTGATGCAAATGATCAGTGTTTCTCCTAGCAATGCAGTTTTGACCAGGTGTGGCTTCTGTTCATGTGACTTATTGATATGATAATTCAGCATTTTTATCTTGATTAGTTGTTGTTTTTCCCAGCGCTGGTGTAATGATGTGCTGTTTGTGCCTGTGTTTCAGCCCAGAGACGGTGAACAGCCCAGGACTGATCCTGAATCAGCGGCTGCTGAGCAGGTGATGAGCTTCAGTAACACTGAGCACTTCAGATACGGAGAGTCACTCACACACACACCATCTGCTGTTCTGGTCAGTCATATTTAGATGTTTCATTTGAGCTCAGTGTTTGTTGATGTGTTTGCTGATGCCAGGCCTGGTTCTACGGGGGTAAGCACCCTCAAACGAAATCTGTAATAATGGCGTTTCGTTGCAGATTTGGCGAACTATCCAGTGCGTTATGATTTGCGCTCTAGGAGATCGGTTTCTATGTATTTGCAGCGTTGAGCAATGTTAATCACAGACGTTTCTGCTTATGTTATATTTTCTGCTTATTATCAGTTAGAAGTATCTTTTAAGTTAGAAGCGTTGAGAATTTAATTGATTATCACATAACTTTGTGAGATCTTGAGTGACAGCTTTTTGAGTGATTATAAAGCGATGGACGGCACAGATAATACACACCGCCGGTCAAAAGTTTGGGATCAGAACGATTTTTAATGTTTTTACAGGAGTTTCTTCTGCTCATCAAGGCTGCATTTATTTGATCAAAAATACAGGAAAAAATATAATATTGTGAAATATTATTATGATGCAAAATAACGTTTTTCTATTTTAATATACATTAAAATCTAATGTATTTCTGTGATGCGCAGCTGTATTTTCAGCATCATTACTCCAGTCTTCAGAGTCACGTGAACTTCAGAAATCATTCTAATATGCTGATTTATTATCAGTGCTGGAAACTGTTGCTGCTTCATATTGTTTTGGAACCTGTGATACTTTTTTTCAGGATTCTTTGATGAATAAAAGTTTAAAAAGAAGAGCATTTATTTTAAATATAAATCTTTTCTAACAATATACACTACAGTTCAACAGTCTGGGGTCAGTACATTTTTATTCTTTCTTTTTTTGAAAGAAATTAAAACTTTTATTCAGCAAGGATGTGTTAAATTGTTAAGTAGTGACAGCAAAGATTTATATTGTTAGAAAAGATTTATATTTTGAATAAATGCTGTTCTTTTTAACTTTTTATT